AGAGCTAGGGGAACTCATTAGCATAACTCATTAGCATATGCCACACCCCCTGACATCAGGGGCTCGGCGGTGGACCTGCAAGGCCGGCGGGAGTGCGAGGAAGCCCCGCCAAGGCCCTCCCTGGCCCCAGGCAGGCAGGGGTGGGGAGAGGCGGGGAGGAAGCAAGTTACCCTCCCTCTTCTCCTGCCTCCTCCTGGCTGAATGAGGGCCGGAAGCGGGGCGGCCGGAAGCAGGGGGCGGGGCTTCGTCGTGTGCCCCGCCCCCCGTACCTCACCTGGGGGAACTGCGATCCCCCGCGATCCCCCCTGAATTGACCTCCGGATACATCCTTTCACGTCCTGCTGGAATTGGAATGCAGATTTTTTGAGATTATGGGGGATTACTATATTAAGCCTTTATGCAACCAGTTGTCCCCCTATACTCCGAAAACCCTGGCTCTTTTTTTCTCAGTGATAAAGATCCCAAGATCACTCTAGCAATTGCAGAATTTGTCTCAGTCCTTTTAATCCTTGCATCTAAAAAATAAGAAATAAGTGTCTTCTGCTGCTCAAGATTTGTGAATCAATGAGCTTCTAAGAGTACAAAAGGAAAAGGAAAGTGCAGAAGTGACTGGGCTTTAATATGGCGGCTAGGACTGTGTGAACCAGAGCTATACCTGGTTCTGTGAAATTGCTTTGCTCCCGGCGCGTGCGCGCGCCACATGCACATCACAGGGAAGTTACATGACGCCGGGCACGCTGGGGGCGGGGCACAGCCATTTGAGGGGGAAACTCTATGTTTTCCCCTCAAATGGCTGTGCCCCGCCCCCAGTGTGCCCGGCGTCATGACGTCACTTCCATGTGATGTGCATGCGGGGGTGGGGTTTCCCCCGGGGCCCGATTCCGCGGGGCGGAAATCGGGCCTCCAAAGCGGGGGGAAATCCGTCCCCCGGGGGGATTTGGCAGCCCTAAGCAGGACTGTTCCAGAAAGCGCTGTTACAGCCATGGTATTACGTAACTGGGTATGCATGCACTTAAAACTTTCCTGATGAGGATCCAAATGAGTATATGCCTGAGAACATTCCCAGGCAGGAAACTCACTGACAGTATTCCACATATGAATTTGCCCTTCTGGGTTTTGCATACTTGAATAATTAGGAAAAGTCTTGAGGAGTGGTCGGAGCCCAATCATTGTCTGCAAGGGCCCTGTACTAACTCTTCACGTCCCTTCCCAAATCCCATAATACAATGTCATCCATTATGAAAGAAAAATGTCTGTTTTATTTCTGAAATGATGTCAGTAAACCATGTCAAGAGGATCTGCTTGGAGCCCAGGCTGGGTCTCTTGGATGCCAATAAAGTACATATATTACCCTACCCTCAATCCATGCTTTGTTTTCCATTGGAGTCTGTGCTTTTTAGCTCTGCTTACCAATTTCCCAGGTACGCACTAGGAAAATGGCAGCCCTGTTATTTCTGAGGGTACACAAAAACCAATTCATGTTTGAATATGCAGCATGTGGATCAGCAGTTGGTGAAAAAAATATCTGGTGCCAATATGCATCTTGTTCATTTACTACTTCTGTGAACATTAACAAGCAATATCACTGTGACTTCCCAAACCAGGAAGTCCTCACGTTGGTTCCTCAGACTGTATCAGTTTAGAACACTGGTAGGAAATTGCACATATCTTCATTAAAAAAAGAAAGGGGAAAAAAAGATCAAATTTCTGGTACCTTGACAAGTACCATGCTTGGTTTTTGCCTGGCGTACTTTCTTGCTCCTTGTCATATCACCTTTCTGCAATCTTGGAGATTTTTGTTTCTTGTAAAATGTGGGAGCGCATTCCGACAAAGGATCTTTTTCTGTTTTCTAAAGAGGTACGATTCCAGGCAGGCTTCACCATATACCTTTTTGTGAACATGAAGACTGACTCTTAATTTTGTAGACAAAGTTTGGTACATGCACTACAACAGACCGTTTCCCTGGGATGTTCACTAGTTGATCTCGGTCTCTGTGTTTTGCCTCGTGGGCTTGCCTCATTAAAATGTTGTCAGTGCTTGTTGCTTTAGTTGTCACGGTTCAGCTTCCAACCCTTTCTCTAAAGCGGAGGTGATAGAGGCATCTTATCTAGAAGGAATAGGAGAATTATCCATTTTTCCCCATTCCTTTTTGTTTTCGTTCATTGTTATTGTGAACACTTTTTGGTCTACTCATTTTTTGTAACTGGTGTTAATGTGTTTCTTGTGTGCATTCCGGATACAATTTATATATACAGTATATGTTATATACTAAGTGGGAATATATGTGTACGATGCTTATTTATACACAGCATCGGGAAGATTTTGTCTGAGGAAGCAGAAAATGAAAAATAGTGGCCCAGGCTTGGTTTGCACAAGAGGGAAACAAAATCAAAACAAGAATACTTGATTTGAACTAGGTCACCTGGGAAATGTGGTAGCATCCTTAACCTTATCTCTACTACACTTGTATGTATATGCCTGCACAGGGATACTAAGGCATCATGTGTACAGCCTATTATTGACCATTCTGGAACTGCTGAGGTCTATTTGGAATAGTTGGTTGCATTGCAGAACAATGCTGCTTTTTGAACATATTGTTAACCACCCAAACAAGTACCCTTTTTTGTTTTTTAATGAGTACGAGGCAGGGTATGGCAGAGTCAATGAATACAGTGAGTGAATCATCAATGTGTAATTGGGGGGCCTCATGTGGCGATCCTTCATATAAAAAATATAAGAATGTCATGTGCATGTCTCTGTCAGCTGCAGAATATGGGAGGATATGCAATCCACGAAATATTCAGAGTCCAGTGAGTTCAAACAAACAAATGCCTGCCTGCAGACTGACATTGCCGAGAGCTGTGGCATTCTTCCCTCGCAGCTCGAAGATGCAACATTCTTCCCTGTCAGTCTTATGCAAACACAGGGGAAACGTTCTTCCCATACCAGCTTTCCTGAAGAAAAGCTCCCTTGATGAGTGGAAGCAAGCTAGCCTCTTTGCCAGCGGGAATGGGATCTGACTTACAGGAACTGTGGCTTGGTCCAGCATATATTACAGGAACGGTCCGAAAAAATGCAGTCCCGGGCGGTGTTTGAATTTTTAAAAAGCTGTTTTAATCATAACAGAAAAGCACTTCATTCTCAGAGACACTGTTTTAATATTCAATCTTGCATGTCCCAGCTCCAACTAAGGGTCTTAAGGGAATTGCAAAGTATGAAAGTTTTCTTTTCTTGCTTTTTGTCTTTCTGGGCTGCTGCCAAGTATTGTGTGGGTCGTTATTTGGGAGAAGGCGACATACAAATGGGTGCATCACCCTGCGGCCGTTGTGGCTTGGCAAGAGAATGCTTCCGTTGTTATGTCGTTATTTAAAATGTATCCCTACGCCACTCTTCAGCCACGGGATCTGGAAGGCAGGGGTTACAAATCGAAATAATGCAGTAAAATGTTAAAAGAAAACTCCACCAGTCCACCACAACTAAAAATCCATTTTATAAGAGTCAGCCCAGAGACAGGCAAAAGTAGATACCCCCCAAATGCCGGGGGGGGGGGGGGAATCTTTGAACGACTTCTCTCACAGCTTATATTTAGTTTCACAATTAAATGCTCATCAAGAGGTCTGATTCCTTCTTGCATGTTTTCCCACGGCACTTTAATCTGCATTGGAGAAAAATGCAAGTGTACCCGTGCATGATTGGTGTATGGGGTGTGGAATAAGAATAGCTAGAAAATAATGCAAGGGGAAAGAGTTAAATCTCTGCCCCATTGTCAATTTCTCACTTTAAAACACAGCCTATGTGGTTGAAATCTGTTAAAATTCTCTAACTTATCATGGAATGGCATGACATATGTAATGCTGCCCAGAGGCCCATCAGTCTCCGGAAGGAAATTGACAACAAGGTACCAGCACAGAGAAGGACTTGTACTTAGCAGCTGGCTGCCTATCCTGAAGATGCTCTGAGTTTAGGTCTTGATTTCAACCCGGCTGGGCTGCCCTCTGCTCTGTTATCAGATGTTTACATTTTGTTGTCTGTGGGATTTGTATAACTTTCGTGATAAGATGAAGCTAACTTGTGGACAATTATTCTTTCTTTTGCCTTTTTGTCTTGTTGTGCTGAACAAACTAGATCAGGAGCCAGCAAAGTATAATAGTTATAGCGCTGCATGAGGATTTGAGAGAACCTAGTTTGAATCTTTACTGTGAAAGCTCACCGGTTGAGCTTGATCTAGGCCTTGGTCACACGGAGAATTTGCTGTGCAAAAGGCATGAATGTCAGGTGGATTTTTGGGGCACGATCACACCACAACATCTGGGAAGCGTAGCGCACTCGTGGCCAACCCGTGGCGTCCCGCTGAAGATGCAGAGTTAAAAAGTACCAAGAAAAGTGCACTAGAATCTGGAAAATGCGTAGCACAGGTGGGCGTCTGATCGCAGGAGTGTTAGTATCCCGTGGCATCTGGCGACCGTCCGCGTCCCATCGCAAACCGGATGTTTTTCATAAGCGCATGTGCACAAACACGAAACTGAAAGCAGTGCTGCTCTGTGGAACTGCGCACGCGCACAAACGCAAAATGCTTGTGTGATCGTGCCGCTTCCTTGCCACACTGCAGCATCGCCTTGTGATCGCCAGCTAACAGCCGAAGCATGGAGACTCGGGGGACTATGTGATCGGGCTACCGCACTTAACTTTGCTCTGGGGCGAATAGCCATGCCTCCCCCCCCCCCGGCGTTATCTGGCCCGTGTGACTGGGGCCCTAGTTACTCTTTCGCTTTCTCAGCCTGATCTCCCTCACAGGGTTGTTGTGAGGAGAAAAAGGAGAAGGGAAGAATGATGTTGTAAGCTGCTTTGGGTCTACATAGAAAAGTGGGGTATATCTAAATTAACAAATTAACTGGCTTTTAAAGCAGTTTTTGCTTAGCTCCTGAATAGCCTGAATAGCCATGTATTGTCCTGCTTTGTAACCAAAGTGTTTTTTCCCCACTCTTCTCCCTTTCTTTAGGGCTTCCCTGGTGATTTTGGGGAACGAGGACCACCAGGCATTGATGGCAACCCAGTAAGTTGGCAGAATTCTGATTTTAACATTTCTTCTTTGGGCCTCAGTGGAAAGCATCCTGCTTGCTGGTTGGATTGGCTGTTGGAAACCGCCTCTGATCCCTGTGTGGTTTTTGATGTCTCTTGTGAATTGGTTCCTACCTTGTACCATGTGCTAAATACTTCAGTCAGACATCTAACACGTGAGGCATTAGGAATAGCACCATCCATTTTTTCTTCTTCCTTCTTTTCTCTTCAGTTCCACTGCCGTACTGTTCTGCTTGCTGGGGGGGGGGGGGCTGACAAAAAGCCAATAAAAATAATCCCTCTCTATATATATGTATGTGTATATATATGTGTGTGTCTGCCATGGTGTTCAGGGTAGTCCCATGCCCCTTTTAGGGGAACAGTTTGTCGGGCTCTCCCTTGGATTTCGGTGCGGTGCCCCCAGTAGCTGTGGTGTCAGGGGCCTCGACTGGACTCCGGCGGGGGAGACGGCCCTTGAAGCGGTGAGATTCAAAAAGGGAGAGGGAGTGAGGGGCCTCAGATAGTCAGGGGACAGGGTTAATGCCACCCTGAGCGTCCCTCTGCCAGCACGCTGCGGACTTCCTTTCTCTCTCTCTGCCGTCTTTACGTCTCTCTCGTCAGCGTCCCACTTCGTTCCACAGCGCACTCCTCCTCCCCGGCCCCTTCTCCACCCTGCCTTTTATCTCCCCGCCCTGCTCCCAGGACCACCCATCCGTCCTCCGGCTTGGGCCACGCCCTCTTTTATCTATCGGGACGCCGGTGGGGCGTCTCCGGGGCGAATGCTGGTATGCCGGCAGTGGCTCTGGCAGCCTCTGGGCCGCGTCGCCGCTCTGTGGCGGTACTCTCTGCTCTGCGCCCGCTCTCGGCCCATTGGACAAGTCGCTGCCACCCCTTTCGTCTTCCATGGGAGTGCTCCATGGACCCCTGTCCTGTCTCCGGGCTTGGCCGACACAGCGCGCCGCAGGTGGGGTCCCCGCTCCTGCCTCCCTCCTTGGACCGTTGAACTCTGTCCCGCCTGGTGAGTCATGCCTTGGGTGTCTTGCGGGGTCTGTTGGGGTCCCCGGGGCCCGGTCCGCACGTCCCGCGATCTCTGGAGCGGGACACAGTTATGGAAGACGGGGTAACGGAGCACTGCTTCTCTCTCCTTGATGCCATTAAGATTTCATTTTAGGCGTGAGGTCTTAGAAGGAGGGACATACCCAGCTCAGTGGTAGAGCCATGGGCTTTGTGTATAGAAGGCTTTCTGTTTCAGTCCCAGGGGGGAAATTGCCACTTGTATGCCAAATTTCAATCTAGCTCAAGGTTGATCTTGTGCAGTGGTAAAGTCTTCCTGCAAGTGGAATGCTAACACTTTGAACGTGCCCTTTTCCTTGATGATATCAGTTATTAATTCCTAGGGAGTCTTTGGCATGAGGAGACAGGGCTGGTTTCAAACAAAGAACCCTCATGTGTGTATTCTAGGGATGATACAGTTCCCAGAGGAGATTAGAGCAGCACAAGGGAGTCAGCATGTAGAGTTTGTTGTACAGACAGACATAGAAACTGGAGTTTGTGCCGCTAACTTTATTTATCTATTTATTTTGCTTCTGGACATACTCAGCTTCTTTCCTTGGCTTCTGGCATCACATATGTACCTCTGAATCTGTCTCTTTGCTCAAACCCTCCCATGACTTCGGCAGAATGTCTGCCTATATTTTTTTTCAAACTGTATGCAAGGTTATCTCATTAAACATTTGTTTAAGTGCCACTTTTGTTTTTAAAGAGAGCAGTCAGTTTTATAAAATTTGGGAGACTGCTCCAAGGTGGGGGCAGGAGGCTGTATGATGGTGGGAGCAGTAGCCCATCAGAGCTGTGGACTTTTCCTGGAAACTAGCAGAAATGGTTATTCCTGAAGGGACGATTGTGTGTTTGGCCAAATCAAAGTGAGCATGGTTCCTCAGCAGTTTGATTGCTCTGATGAAGATATTTGCATACACTCTTTGGCACTTCTGCAACAGCAGATTTTGCTCAGGATAGAATTCATTTTTTTTTCATTTTTCCATTTTATTTATTAGCTTCATTGACCTGAGGTCTTAAGCCAAACATGCAAACAGCAACTATAAAATGCATTACATATAATTACAAGAAATTTAGACAGAACGTCTTTACAATAAAAGCTAGTAAGCATGCTCTCGATCAGTAATATCAGACCACATTTTATAAACTTCAATGAGTTCTATAAAATCCCATGATATTATGGAAATTAGTTTTAAAATTTTAAAATTGTATACAAAAGGTACTTATAACATTTCAAAGCCGCTTTAAAAATAGCACTATCGAAAGATATTTTGCCACCAAGCGAGTTGTTTCAGGGTCTTCATCAGCTAATAGTATGGTTATCACCCAGGGTTCCATAGGGAGGTGATATCTTTGTAAAATAGGAGTAATCCAGCAGGATCTGGGGTCAATCCATCGGTGGCAAAATAACATAAGATGATCTAAGGTCTCTATTGCACCTGATGCACAATCACACAATCTATTTGAGTACTGTATTTTAGCAAAACGGCCACTTAGCTCTACGGTTGGAAAAACATTCAACCTTGCAAGCGTGAAGACATATCGAGATCTGGGGGATGTAAGGAAGCTCATATATGAGGGAGTTTTCTTAGGTGGAACAATCCCTAAGGCAGAGTTGGAGCATACTCGCCTAGCACGAATTGAAGTGCTGAGTCGGTCAATGTTTGTCACCCTCAATCTCATCAAATTTAGCGCTTCTTGATAATTTAAATTATTAAGCCCCGTAGGGGCGAGACCAATCCACTCCAGCTTGTTATCTATATGTTTTGCCCACGTACATTTATAATTATCCCCTTTTAAAAGATAAAGAAGACCTCCTTGAGCATTAGGTGTCATATAAAGAACTTTCAGTCTCAATTTAAAGGGTGCCTTCCAGGCTCTTGACTCAAAGGAGCATTGTGCAAATTCTTCTCTAAGTGCCGTCCCTGCGACACATTTAGGGACGCCTGCAATTTTACGCAGGAACTGGAGAAGGATCTGATCTGATAATTCACAAATTTCTTTAATCCAGATCGCAGCCCCATATAAAAATTGGGAAGTAACTTTCGCATTAAAAGCTGCAATGGCCATTGGGACATACTGGCCGCCTCTTGAATAATAGAATTTAAGGAGGGCATTAGAATTTAATTTAGCGATTTCAGTTGCTGCTCTTATATGATGTTTCCAGCGGCAACTGGAGCTGAACACTATCCCCAGATATTTGAAATGAGACACTTGTTCTATCTCCCCACCCTTAACCTTCCATAATCTTTGTTTTAAACAAGGTTTGTTAGAAAAAACCATTATTTTTGATTTCTCATAATTGATCATCAGCCCCTCTTGGATACAGTAATCAGTAAAAGCATTCACTAGCTTACGCAAGCCAACTTCTGATCTGGATAGCAGCACTGCATCATCTGCATAAAGTAGTATAGGAACTTCATGTCCTGCTAGTATGGGTGTGTGACAGATTGTTTTTTTGATATATGGGACTATATCATTTATATAAAGATTAAAAAGCGTGGGGATAGAATTCAGTACCTAAAGTCTGCAAGTGGCAGATTTTGGAAAACCCGACATGAAATGACGGGATGGCATGGGAAGAGTTTGTTTGTCCCACTTCTGGTGCATATAATAGGTCAGGTGCCTGCCTCTTTCTCAGTGTAGTAGTTCCTGAAGAGGCAGACTTTGCCTTTATTTAAAGGTGAATGATCACAGAGAAATTTGTCTTAGACCTACAGTTTTCCTCCTTGTGGTCTGCCCAAGCCTTGCTTTTAAACCTCTACGATCACAAATTTGGGTTGGTTTTGCTTAGTAATTTTCAAGTAGACAGCTGTATTTTGTGATAGGTTATATGATTTAAGAGCAGTGATTAAATGCATGATTAGTTTAGAAAGAGGCTTTGGAACATAGCATATGCCCTTCACTCTGGCTACTTGTACAAAAATGAAAGGGCAGAAGTTTAGCTCCTTTACTTTTATTGGCCTCTGCAGGTATCTGAAGTGGAACTAATCTGTTGTCATTTAGGTAACTGAAGTAGATTCTTGAGCTACCTTGGAACTGTTTGTGGTCTGTTCAGTGCAGTCCCTGTCCAGCTGCAGCACAGTCAGTCCTGGTACTGCAGAAGTTTGTAATTATGAATGTAACCCGCTCATTCTAAATCAAGCATCATTTCTCTAGGAGAGCCAGTGGGGTGTAACGGTTAGAGAGTTGGGCCATGATGCAAGAGAACCAGGTTCAGATCCCCACTCTTGGAAGCTCGCTGGGTGGCCTTGGGCCAGTTATGTGTGAGGATAAATGGAGGAGAGAGGAAAGTTGTAAGCCACTTTGCATCTCCATTGTGGCAAAAGTGGGGTAGAAAAGAAATAAATAAATTCTGCATTCCAGAATGTCAAATGCAGTATTGTGCATGTGCCAGTAGACTAGGTGCCCCAATCCAGTTCCCTTTGGGATGCATGTGCAGGAGTTTGTATATTATTGGAAATATTTGTTTCCTACCTCTCACTGCAAAGATAAAATGGCTCTTTCTCCTTGAACATAAAAGATAACGAAACTTAAACAATACAGTAGTGTACAGTAAAAACAATCCAAAGTTTATAAAATCAGCCAGCACTAAATCACCTTTGAAAATAGCAGTAAAAGCTAACCATCTCAGGAGCATCCGTAAAAATCTAGGTCTGTAGTGTGAGTAGATTTTGAAACCAAACCCCTGACATAATCAAACTGGAGTCAATGGAAGTCAGTGAAAGTCGACACCGAGAGAAATCAGCAGAGAGCCTGGGCCAATAAGAATGTTTTTGCCTGATACTTAAAACTTAATAGGCTTGGCACCGGGAGAAATTCTTTTGAGGGTGGAATTGCACAGTTGGGGTATCAGGACAGTGAAGGCCCTATATCTGGTCCTTGCGTGTTTACATACTGAAGATCAAGGCATGAAAGGGAGTGTCTCTGAAGCAGATC